CACACACACACACACACACACACACACACACACACACACACCTTGGATAGTGGCCAGGGGATTGTTACCGAGGAGGGCTTGATTCATCCCTGTGTTAACTCCCATCACAGTGTTCCTGTTGTGACACGCGCACACGCACCAAGCGCGACACATGTGCAAGCAGACACACAAACAGAGACAGGCAGAGGAGAAAAGGTGAGGGAGGGGGGGAAAAAGCAGGTTTAGTGGCAAGGACAGGCAGAAGGCAAATTCATCTCAACACATATAAAGAGCAGAAGTTTGCTGACTGTTGGCTGCACAAATGCAAACAAGGTTAGAAATGCAGAAAGAAACAGAGCAACCTAATGAAGTATTATTCATCTTAACACAGAATTCACATGAACTAATGAAGAAACACATCTGAATTGTCTAAAGTGTGCAATGTGTGTGTGCTTCAGTCGTATTCACCTCAAGTTTGCAGCAAAATCGGTGATGTAGTTAGACACGTCACCATTCTTTTTACCCATTCGCCATAAGCTGTGAACACAAAAATCACACACACACACACACACACACACACACACACACACACACACACACACACACAGAGTTAGCATGCACTGCTGCACAGGGGAAGCAGTGGCACCCAGCGGCATGCTGGGATATCAGTTAATGCTTATGTGCTCAGTCACTGTTTGTGTGTTTGTGTGTACAGTAAAAAGCATTTAACTACAAATTGCAGCTGAACCGAGCGTAGAGCAGTGCAGTATTGATTGTGAGCAGCGTTTGTGGAAATGTGTGGCCGTATGCAGTTGTGTTTTCAGACTGCAGATGAAGATAAATGATTAAAACCGATGATTCACCTCTGACTTCATGTTGCTGGTGGGTTAGGTTAATGTTCAACCACGCACATAGATTGGTTTTAAATATTAATCCTTTGCATTTCATAATATTACTCATATTAAATGACTAATTAGTATTCGGATTAATGATACAAGTATATGTAAACGTAATCTGTGTGAGATAAATATTTAGGCTTCAGATGGCTCTAAATTTTCAGTCTAAGACCTTCTTTTTTGTCTACTTATGACTCCACATAACGTCAGTGAGCACAATATACTTAACGTGATCATCTCAGGCTCATCAGCTCTATTCACTTTCTGTTTAACCATTTTGTTTATGAGAGGCAATCAGAAGAAAACTGGCCTAAATGGAGATAAACTGAGGAGCTGCACATGGAGCTGGTATAAGATAATTCAGGCTTATTATGAATTATTATGCAGAGCTAGTCTAGAGGAATATGGAGCTAAAAAGGAGCACAGCAGTTCCCATTTTCTTCCTACACACATTTTTTTGATGTATATTTTCTGATACTTCTGCTGACAGTGGAGGCGAATTAATCTTTTTAAAATGCGCTTGTCACAGCTTTGAATTGAGTTATGTCCAAAATATTATATTTCCTGTTTGCACAAAGTTTATTTTCTTCACTAAAAGGTAATGTAAGCACAAAACGGGTGTTGCCAATAAAAACTGCAACGTTTCTTTTTCTGCACTGAATTGCTGCTTTTGATTTGCCAACACTGCTAGCACCAGAGATGACGCTCCACGTTCAGGATCCACAGCAGTCAGTCGTCAAACTCAGAGAGGTATCAAATCTGTCAAAGACAGAACAACAGCTACGCCACACATGTCTCTCTGTTACTATCGTCAAACCTGCGTTTATTTGGGTGAAAGCTGCGGTGGTAAGAGGTGCTCTGAGGTGCTTTGCTGCGAAGGCCTCGTGGCCTCTTACCCTGTGTTAAGGTTGAGTGTGCTGTGGCTGGGGGTGGCCGGGCTGGCTGTGCTGCGGGGAGGAATAGGTGGAGGAGGTGGAGTTGCCGGGGAGGGAGTGGAGCTGAGTGGGGTGTGGGTTAAGCTGAGAGAGGGGTGGCTGGAGGTGAGGCTGGAAGTCAGAGGGCAGACGGAGGACATGGTGGTCACCGATGTGCTGCTGAGACTCGTCACGGCCTGTGACATCTGGCTGGACATCTGTCAGAGAGGACAAAGAGGACAGCGGCGTGTTTATTACCAACAACTTCGATAAAAATACTTTTGGGAAAGGTGCTGCAATGCGTTCGACTAGGCGTACCATGTGAGGGCTGTAGCAGGGTGGCTTGTGCGCTGGTGGGGCTGTGGGGGGCTGGTTGGGCAGAGGAGGAGTGGCACTGCTCGGGTTAATGCGCTTCTCTTTTTGCCTGCGGTTGCAGAACCAGACCCGGATCACCTCCTTCTCCATATTGAGTTGCTCGGCGATCAGCAGGATCTCCTCTGAGGTAGGCTTCTGGTTCTGCAGAAGGCGGCGTGATGGAAAACATTAACAGCGGCAAGACGTGAAGAATTTTCACAACCACAAAGAATGAAAATGTGAAAATTACAGAAAATAAAAGGCTGTGTACACAAATTACTTTACTGTCAGGTGTCTAATGAAGCTGAAGGCTTCATTTGTCAATGTGTTTGTTACAAGTGCTGCGAGGCTGACAACAAAACCATACACAGTGGTGACAGGAAACCACAAACATCTTTATTTGTACTTAAAAACACTTTAAGAGGGGCGAAGCCAGCTACTGTCAGATCAGTCTGCCTCAGTGGATCTTGTATTTGGGGCAAGATTAGGTATTTCAGTGACTTTTTTTAATATTTTAAAATCCACATTTAGTTGTTTGGGTTTTTTTTGGGGTGTACAACCTATGAGCAACACCAACATAAAAGGGATAAGGATAAAAGAATCTTGTGTAATACAGAAAAAAGACAGTCACTGTAATAATAAGTTGACTCATCTTACCGTCATGAAAGAGCGCTCCAGGGCCACACGTACATTCGTCTCGATGCTGGTTCTCTTCTTTCTGCGGCGCGAGGGAACGCCGTCGAAGCCCATAGAGGGTGAGGACAGGGAGCTGGGGCTGGGCAGGGTGCTGTCTATGGACATGGTCTCTGAAGGGCAAATTCACCAGCACGTTCACACAAGCTTAACGTTCAACTGACAACAGTCATAACACCTACTCTGTGCAACTGCAGTTCTTGGAAAATACTGTGAATCATCTCTATCTCAATCTGATATTCCAGTTTGTGCGACTGCAGTGATCTCACCTGCATCATTCAGCCACTTCTCCAGCAGTGGCTTCAGCTTGCACATGTTCTTAAAGCTCAGGTTGAGGGCTTCGAAGCGGGAGATGGTGGTCTGGCTGAAGTCATTGCCGTACAGCTTCCCCATGGCCAAGCCTACATCTCCCTGATGGACAGATTAAAAGCAAAGAAATTAAAATGTATTCACCAAAAAAAACCCCAAAGCATGTAGTGTTGGCGTAGAGGGGTGTCTCACTTACCTGTGTGAAGCCTAGTTTGATGCGTCTTTGTTTGAAAGTGCGGGCAAACTGTTCCAGCTCTTCGAGGTCACTGGGGTCCTCGGGGTGAGAGGTCACGGAAGGCACCGTGGTCACACCTCCACCACTCACCTCCACACCCTTATCTCGCTGCAGCGGGAGGAGTGAAAGTGAGAGTGAGACAGAAACAGAAGTGTTTGTTAATGACTCGTGCTGCTGAGGCTGGGTTTTTCTTTTCCACTGACTAAAGCTTCAAAGTTTCCTTGTACCTGTGCCTGAAGCCCCATTCTAGTCGGAGCAGAGAGCAGGCTCCCTTGGTTTTGCTGAGGTAGCGGAATAAGATTTGGTGTCGATAGGAGTCCTAAAGAAGAAAAGCAAAATATGAGTTCTGTGTATAATTTGTGTCTAAATGACTGTATCTATGTTATTCTGCCATAAAGGGCCTCCCCACCTTGCTGGCTCTGCTGTGCCTGTGGAAGGAGGAACTGGGCAGGAGACGGGAGCGGGTGGCCGGGGACCAACACCAGCTGCTGTAGCTGCAGCAGCTGCTGAATGTCCTTTCCAGTAGAGAGAGAGAGAACGGACACATCAGACAGACGATAAGATTTTGCAATTCTACGAGCAGAAGGACGGCTTAGTCACATCAAAATGTGCTAGTATGATATATACGGTTCCTCCAGCTCAGGAAAGGAGGTATATGAAATGTATACCAACAGAACGCGTAGAAACGAAAGGGAAAACTTTTTCTGTCACGTCAGCGTTAAGAAAAGGAAAATGTGTGCGTTCATGCAAGGTGGAAACTGTGAATCACGAAATCTACAGTAGACATGCATTATGAGCTGCTCCATGGATTGATAGCGGCTCCTCAATCACGCCCCTCATCAGGAAGTGGCTTTAACGGCAGCCAGTACCTGGGCAGTGAGCTGGATTGGCTGGGAGAGGGTGAGCTGGGATGGAGGAGGTGGGACAGGGACGCTTTGGGCGCTCTGCTCCTGTGTACTCTGTCCCTGGGACTGCGACTGAGTCTGCTGCCCCGATTGACCCACTTGCTGCTGTTGTTGTTGTTGCTGCTGCTGCTGCTGGGCTTGCTGATTGGCTGCTGCAGCTGCCTGAGCTTGCTGATTGGCTTGGGCGGCTGCGTGGGCAGCGTGAGCTGCATGGGCTGCATTGGACTGCTGCACAGCTGCAGCCAGGAGCTGCGCTTGAGCCTGCTGCAGCAACAGCTGCTGCTGCGCCGGCAACAGAGCTGTCAACTGGTGGAAAGGACGAGAGAGGAGAGGAGAAGCAAGGAGAGGAGAGGATTAAGAAATCAAGAGTGGGAAATGCACAAAGGTGACAAAAGAGGGAAACAAAGTGTTCAAAAAGTACCACCAGAGGAGCGAGCGAGGCAAAAGCAAAAGCCAAGTGCGTGTCTGTGTGAGCGTACTACAAGTCTGTCTTACCCCTGCTAACTGGGAGCCGGTCAACATGAGCTGTGTGTGTTGCAGAGCAGTCTGTGAGGGGGTCGGGCCGTGAGAGGAAGGGAGGGCTGGGGACATGTCAGCACACTCCTCCATCTTATTCTAAGATGAAGACATAACAGCAAAGCATATACAGAAATGGGAACACGGTTAGAGGGCCAGCGCTAGAATTAAAGCTCGATTTGATATAAACATGTTTGTAATTATCAAATCGAGACTATGCAAGCAAATGCCATCCTGTCACAGATATCCATAAGTTAGGAAAATATTAAATATCTTCGGATAATATTGGACTAATTAAGTGCTACTTTAACTTAATTCTTGGGCATGAGGCTACAAGAATTTATCCATGTTTAAGACACATAGCTCACTAGGATAAATCATTAGAATGTCTTAAAGCGTGCAATTTCCTTCGAATGTTTCAAATGCGTCCCCAGTCTGTGTGATAAAATACAACTCCACTAGACTTTTTTTCCCTGTCCCATCCTTCTCAAAGAGTTGATCTTTCCTCCCAGACCCAGCCATGTTCAGACAGACAGAGGGGATCTTTTCCAGCGTACCTATTTGAATATCTCTTGTGGTATGCAAATAGGGAAGATTTTACCTTTTGGTGAGAAATAATATTTCAGATTTACTTCAGTACTGAAAAGGCTTTGTGAAAAACACGAGTGCCATCATACTCTCTGCTCTTTGCAAACGTGTTTACATTGGGGACTGGGTGGAGAGTCGACACATTATCAACCTCAACGTCGAGCGTGACAAAAGAGTAATTCAGTGCATAGAAATGAACACAAAGCTGAAGCAGCCGTACCGTCAATAAAACCCAGCGTGTGACGTTGAAACACAAAAGATGCACAAACGCAAACACAGGCTCAGACACACACACACACAGTTCAGTAACGTGGACACACACGCAAAAGCACACACTCACCTTGGTGCTGCTCAGGTTTGGTGACAGAGGAAAAGGACAGGCTTTCATTGACTGAGTCTAGAAGAGAAGAATTAGACACAGCCTTGGAAATTACTTCAAAATGCATCATATTCCATCTCTGCTAAAAGAAAAATAGATATCTGGATTCCTGACTGTGTGAAAAGTTAGCTTGCGATGTTACTTGCAAATAACTGAGGGACTAATCGATGGGGGAAGTGATGGTTAGTTTGTCTGGAAGTACCGACTTTTGGTGAAAACAGATTAAAAAAAAAGAAAGGAAAGGCAGGTTTGATGGAGCTCTTTTATCAAAATGTTGCAAGTAAATATTATTTTTTTTATGTCAGACTCTGTGCTGGAGTGTGCGTGCAACACTGAATCTTCTTCTTAGGTGGATCAATCAGAAAAAAGATGAAAGGGGTGGGAGATGAAGGTAAATACACAGGAGTCACATGTACCTGATGATTTGATTCTGGTCCATTCCGCTCTGAATCTGCGTGGGTGGCAAAGGAAAAAGTGATAAATGACATCTTCAACACTGCATCAACTTACAGCTGCAATTTCCGAAGTCATGCATGTGTCGCTCTTTTTGTTTTTTTTGTTTTTTTTTTAACATATATATTCCGCATTAAATCACATGTACGTGTGGGTGTGTGTTTGCCGTCTGCCTCTCAGACCCTCGCTGCTTACCTGTGCCCTCCAATGGTGAGTCAGCCCCGACTTTTTCAGCCTCTCCTGGCTTTGACATCCTGATATCTGTAACAGGAAAGCACGCAGATAAACAAGTCAGACAGGCTGACTCCTAAATATGTGTCAGATAAAAAGTGCAGAGAGTGACAGAATAACAGAAGAAGCAAGCGGAGACAATCTAGATGACAGAAGGGAAAAGAGTACGGCCAGGGCGCTCATCTTAGATAGGTTAGGGTTAAATGTTTTCAGGTCACAGTCTGAGCCTACACACTGTACACCAAACAATGTAGCTGAATCATTCACTGAGCCCACATTCATTCATTCTTTCTTTCCAATTAGTGGTTTAACATAAGAGTAGGTTGACCCAAGGTGTCTGCTCGTTCTAAATTTAACTCAAGGTGTTTACGTGGGAGACTTGGTGTACTAAAAATGTCTCACACTGTGTGTCACTCATTACAAGACCACATCACTTCCTGGTTGAATTGGGACAGTCCCTATAGCAACAGCAATGAATGGAGGGAGACAATAAGCTCAAGTCTTTAATTACTTTATTATCACAAAAACACGGGAGCATTTTGGTAGCAGGGTGTATAGGAAAGATGGGACTGAAGATAATTAGTGTGGGTAAGCGGGTGTTTATATATAAATACACACACGTGTGTGTGTGTGTGTGTGTGTGTGGGTGTTTCTCTAGCAGTTTTCTTTCTATGTTACAGTACAACAGTACCATTTCATTATAAAAGCTTTTTTATTTGTCTGAAACCACAAACTGTTGTGTCCATTTGAAACCCTTTTTTCCCCTCCTGCTCTGACTCCTTAACATGCGCACACACAAACACACACAGATACACAGCGCTACTTCCCTTTTGTGAAAACATGCAAATCTGCCCAACGACCAACTAATTATATCTGCCACCTGCATAATAAACTCTCAGTCTCCCTCCTCCTTTTTCTCTCTACTCTTTCCCCCCCTTCCTCTCCTCTTTATGTCTCCTCTCTTCATCCTGTCGTCTCTCGGGCTGCACATGACATAAACTGTACATCTTCCCTCTGCCTTTTATCAGCATGACACCTTAAATACAGAAAATGTCCAACAAGCAGGTGGTCAAGCATTGTTTTCGCCATCAGGGGGCAGTAATCACACACGAAGAAGATGCTCTGCTGACCAACACTGACCCGAGGCCAGTTTTAAATTAGCAAAGCATCAGTAAAGTGCATTCACTAATCGTAAAAAGTGATACCGATCAAGAGTCACTCCCTTATCAGATGTTCATTCAGCTGCAGAAACACATTCGTCTCAGTGAAACAGATGTGAGAACAGTGGACTTTGGTACACATAGTGTCTTTAGGGAAAGGGGGAAGTGATGATCAGCTTGAAAAGCGCCATTCTGCCGCCAGTGGCTATAACCCTGTGTAAATACACACACACACACACACACACACACACTGACTGCAGGATTTCCCTTAAATAGCTGAAGCTAAATCGGTCACCCAACGATGCGGATGCAAACATCTGGTTAATATATTATTCTGGTCAGTTTGCGGTTATTCCAGCATTTCATTTGGCACCTGCTTTCAGCATTACGTGATGTGGCTATTAGTGAAACCAAAAAAAAAAAAAAAAACTGTCCAGTGTTGCTCAACTTCTGACAAAAACCCACTGAATATGCACAGAAATAACATCTTCCTCTAAATAATCACAAATTTTTGCCACACATAACAAACTGTACCCCACAGCAAAAATCTATAACACACTGTAAATTTCCACTTCTTCCACATTGGGCCCTGTTACGCTGCGATCTTCAGCGCGTGGAGTGTACAATACTAAAGCCAAATCCCCCTCCTCATATAAAATGATTGCCCAGCTCATAAAACAGAAGTAATGCAGAGCTCCCAAAGTGCTGCCTATCGCACTGCGCTGCCCCGTCGCAGGACACGGGGAGAAGGTGCACGTTGATTCATGGTTAAAAATGGTCTACAGACAGTAGCATGGTGGATAATGTGGTCAGTAATACAGTGGTGGGACAGTATATCAAGATGTAGTGTCTTTTTCTCACTTCCCCTCCCGACTTCCCCTTGTACCGGGTTGAGCGCAGAGTGCTAAACCCAACACTTACTGTCAGCGAGGCTATTAATATTAGCCTGCTCTCTCTCTCTCACTCTCTCTTTCACTCTTTTAAAACCTCCCTCTCTTTTACAACACACTGCTGCACACACAAACACAAATAATTTCGTGTTGGGGTGACTTACACGCTCTGAACGTGTTTACAGTGTAAGCGGAGGGCGCATCTCTTGACTGTTTTTTTTTTTTTGCACATGTGGTGCAAACTGCATTTACTGCAGGGATAAGAAAGTGCTTCTAACAGGTTTAATTGCTCAGCCCGGTCATTGTTGCTCCGCTACAGCATATGCAACCCTTGGAGTTAAACAGTAGAGTTCAGAGTTGCTTCACCATACTGAGTGAATCCACAGCAGAGCAAATTTAATGCTGTATAATCCTGTGTCATGAATAAATGATGCAATAGAAAGGAACAAGGAACAACAGTGCCTGTGCTCAGTCTGGACTGTTTCTGTTATTCTCCTCTGGGTATTTTGGCCGAGATGAAACTCCACTGCAACCACCCTGCAAACCCCCCCTCCCCTTCCCCCCCTGCCCACCAACTCTTCACCCGACTTCCTGATTCAGGACATAACCCCAGCGCCAAGGGGGGTGTCTGGGAACTGGAGTCATAAAACTTACTAACTACAGATTTGAGAAGCCGAGCGGTGCTGAGGGTTGCCAAATTTGATTGCAAAGAAACATTTTCCATTTAAAAGTGAATGTCAAAGAGTCATGTCAACACCAATCGCATATCTGTGCCAGGATGAGACAAGCAGGAAGAACATGTTAGTGTCTAAATTGTTAATATTGTAATGATAAAATATGGGGCTGGACAGATATTAATAATATTAGAAATAATAATAATACTAAAACGATGATTTAGGAATCCAGAGAAGAACTGAAGCTGAAAAAACAAATACAGTGAGAACCTGAAGGAACAAATTTGGGATGCCACAACAAGGCCATAACATGTCATGAGGGTCTCTGCTCTTGTCAGTTTGGGTCGTTTGTTTAATCTAAGTTACTATTGTTGTGTTTTTTTGTTTGTAACACATAAAAATGCCTCATACAAGTGAATAAAACACATGAATATAACCAAATGCTGCTGGAACTGAGAGACAAAGGTCACCACCACATAATGCCCATAAAATCATTTTTTCCCACTTCTACACAGTGTAAATAATTTTTTTTTTTACGGATGACAATTAATTAATAAGACTGAGTGCTTTCAAATTTACACACTTAATTTCCCTCATTCATTTACTTTCAATGTTTAAAATGAGCAAAAATGATTAACTTTACAGAAAACCTAAACACGGCTCACGAGGTGACACATCAAAAATAATTGTACAAGATTATTCCCGATATACACGAATGTTTACCGCACTGGCTTTCCACACCGGTGCACCTTTGTGAAGCTGTGCGTTACATAATTTGGCGTGATGTGCCGTTTGTTGAAGTTTGCGAGAAGGACATGTCACTTTGGTCAGAGTAACTTCCCAGAGGTCACAGCAGTGACCACATGAGGTTAAGGAGTGACTCTGTGAATGTTGTGCCGTGAATCACTCACTGATAAACCGTGAACATCACAGATCTTATAATTTTATTTTGTTTTTAGAAATTCTATCTCGACGACAAAGACTGAGAAATGTGAGCTAATTGACATTTAGAAATTGTATTTCGGGTAACAGGTGAGTCAGCTAACTGCTTGCTGATCTCTCGTAGGTCGTCGGTCAACCGAGACTTTGTCTGCCTGTTCTCATAGGCTGTGCTGAGCTGACCACCCAGACGCAGAGTAGGAAGAGTTACACTATTCCTACTCCGTATTATTTGTAAATACTGAGGCTAAAAAAACCTTTTTTTTTTTACATAACTGCCCTTAAATCAGAGAGCTTGGAATTCATTGACAGACTTGAAAATGAGCAATAATCAATGCAATGCTCCATCGCACACACACAAACACAAAGTATCCTCCAGCTTTAAAGATGCACTTTATCAGAAAAAAACATCTGTAAAGTGAACACACGAGTAACGACCCTCATCACTGGAGAGAAAGCGTTTTGATGAAGGACAATGAAAAGTAATCTCAGTACAGAAACACACTCGAGCTGCAGAAGTCGCCTTTCATTAGCTGAATGTTAGAAAAGACTCTTCAAATAAACTTTTCATTACATTTTCCTCAAGGTTATTTAGCATTCAATATTCAGTTTAAACACACACACACACACACACACAAACAGAGGCATGCTACGGGCTGGTGAAGTGTCTGACCTTTCCCTATGCAAGAGACAGGCGTCCACTCATCCATCCATCCATCCACCCCCCCTCCATCCCTCGTACCACCTCTCACCCTTTGATGTTCCCCAATTAGCTGAGCTTGTTAGACCCACTGGCATTAATCAACAGCATATCACAATCTCTCACACACATACACACACACACACACACAGGTCCCTCTAACTCACGCAAAGCTTAATTGGTCTTGGTAAATGAAGGCCAGCAACGATAGAGAGCTGCACAGACAGTCACTCACCTGGCAACCACATACTGGAGAAGTCCTTTGCTGCTATTGCCGCTGTCTTGGTCATATCTGCGAGAGAGCGTATACGCGACCTAAAGAATAACTCTCACTCTCCCTCTCTCTGTCGCTCTCTAACCAAAAGGAGGAGTGTATTAAATCATATGGTTGAATTACTCTTCCCCTCTCTTCTCTCTCTCTCTCTCTCTGTTTCTCTCTCGCTCACACATGCACATGACAGTAGTCCACACCCCCCAAGCCCCACCTCCTCCCCACATCCTGCAACACACAGGAAGTAAGCCTCAAAAGAGTAGGAACTGTTCTCAAAGAGGAGAGAAAAATACAAAAAGATAAAAAAGAAATTGGAGACACGCAAGAGGTTAAAGAGTGGGAGAGAGTGAGTGAGTGAGCGAGGAGATCGAATAGATAGAGGAGTTGAAAAGGAGG